CTCTCTTTCCTACAGCACCATATAGTATACACAAATCCTAGCCGTTATATTTACAGATTTACTGAGTTTTTCTCAACCTGGTATTCTCTTGGTTACCTTGTCCGGATGCCCGACCACCGTCTCCCAAAGCAGTTGCTCTACTCCAAACTCAAGAACGGAAAACGGAATGTGGGTGGACAGGAAAAGAGATTTAAAGATGGGCTCAATGCCAACCTTAAAAACTCTGGCATAGACACTGAGAACTGGGAAGGCCTGCCCCTTGAGCGCTCCAGCTAAAGGTCAGCTGTGACCAGCAGTGCTGCAGAATTTGAAGAGGCACGAATGGAGGGTGAAAGAGAGAAATGTGCCAAGAGGAAGGCACGTCAAGCCAACCCCGACTGAGACCGCCTTCCACCTGGAAACTAATGCCCTCACTGCGGAAGAAGATGCAGATCAAGAATAGGGCTCCACAGCCATCTTCGGATCCACAATAATTCTGATCCTGGAAGACTATCCTACTCAGCCAACGATTGATTGCCTAAGAAGAAAAGAAGAAGGAGAAGAAGAAGAAGAAGAAGACGAAGAAGAAGAAGAGATCCTCTTGGTGTGCTGTAATTTGCTGTCACTTTCCAAGCAAATACAAGCAATGACTATATATCTGGGAATGATAGAAGCTCATCTGGAATATACGTAGTTCAGGAGTTGCATGTCAATTTCTAGGGTGTTGCACAAACAATATGTGGTTATAGGATTGTTGTTGTTTAAAAAAGTAAAATTTCTGATCATTGTTTCCCAAACGTTGGTCCTCCAACTTCTTCTGCCTTAATCACATCTAGAATGGTCTACTGTAATGCACTCTGCATGGGGCTGCCTTTGAAGACGGTTTGGAAACTGCAGTTAGTACAAAGGCTAGCTGCCAGATTACACTGGAGCTAGCATTAGGGAACATACTATGCCCCTACTCAAGCAGCTCCACTGGTTTCCGACAATTTTCCGGGCTCAATTCAAGGTGCAGGTTATTTCCTACAAAGCCCTATACGCTTCGGGCCCAACCCATCTTTGAGACTGCATCTCTTTTTATGGACCGGTGCGGGCTTTGAGATCAGCAGGGAAGGTCCTTCTCTCAGTTCCACCACCATCTCAAACATGGTTGGTGGAGATAAAAGAGAGAGCCTTCTCTGTGGTGGTTCCCCAGTTCTGGAATACCCTCCCAAAAGAGATTAGTTTAGCCCCCATCTTGACTCCTACCGATCCAGCCGAAAAACAAGGATTTTTCAGCAGGATTTTGCCTTCAAATAGGTTGAAATGGACCCATATGAAGCTGTCACTTTGGCACTTTACTTGTGATTTGAAGGCAGTTTTGACTACAAATGATCTGCATTTTTAAAACTGTGTTTTTATTGTATTTGATGTATCAATAGTGGTTGTTTTTATAACTTGTATGTGATATTGTTTTTATACTCATATACTGTTTATATTATATACTACCCTTGTTGTGCCTTGTAAGCTGCCCCGAGTCCCTTTTGGGAGATGGTGGCGGAATATATATGAAGATTATTATTATTATTATTTGACCTTCAACTCCCAGAAGCCCCAGCAAGCTTAGCAAACAGTTAAGAATTTTGAGAGCTAAAGTCCAAAACATTTGGAAAAACCAAACTTTGGGAAACACTGGCTTAAATGAAGCTGCATGATTTATTTTGTTTTTATAAAATTGTATTTACTTTCCTGTTGACCTGGAAGTCAGGCCCCTTTCTACACTGCCATATAATCCATAGTATTAAAGCAGATAATCAACATTACTTGTTTTGACCTAGATTATGTGAGTCTACAGTGCCATATAATCCAATTCAAAGCAGATAATCAGATTTTATATGGCAGTGTAGAAGGGGCCTCAATTCTCTTGAATAACACGCCTGTAGCACTTTTCCTGTGCAGAGCTTTATTCCTGGGGGAAAAAAACAGAAACATCATGGAAGATATATTTTAGGAAAAATAGTGTGTGAGGAATGTTTTAAACATCTCTTTCCTTTGCCAGACACCAGTTCCAGAATGTAATTTCTCTGTGTATACATTTTAAATAGATATACAAATGTGATTACGCATTCACTGTGCTGTACTGTTTTAGCTAGTCACTACATGCAGATTTAATGCTTGTTTCTTACATTTATATACAAACTTTCTCCCAGGTCAGAGATGCAAAGCAGGATCCAGCGACTAGTGAAAACACAAGAAATTATACCTCTTAAATTGGAAGTTTCAATTATTCAAATATTAACATAGAAATTAAATGTAAACATATTATTACAATACATCGTATGTGGAAGGTTTAAAATATCCGCATAATAACAAATAAAATATTTTAAAATATTTTAAAATTCAATCATCCATTTAAAATAGGATGATTGTGCATCTCTGCAGAGGTTACTGGACTGGTGAAGAAACCTGAGGCTTTGTGTAGAAAGGTCGCTGCAATTTCACACGTTTCCTATCCCTGAATTAAAACTTTCACAGTATCAGTTAGTTAGTTGTTCAAGTCTTGCCTGGTCAGAAAAGCTTCCTTCCCAGAAAAAAATGAGTGTTCAGATATCAGTGTTCACTGTTAACAAATCTGATTCTAGTTCACTTGCAGAAACTCAGTTGGGTTGTACACTGATGGGACTCCTCCAGATATAACAAATATGTTAAGACTGCAATGTTTGTAATTCCCATTTTTAAAAAATCTAAAGTTCCAGACTATTTTCTGGCAGTGTTCAGCAACACTTGAAACGTTCCCATTTCCAAGTGATTTTTTAAAAAATTCTGAAGCAGGACAAAAAGTCTCCTACTTCTTCCTTCCTTTTTTCCCCTTCCTTCCTTCCTTCCTTCCTTCCTTCCTTCCTTCCTTCCTTCCTTCCTTCCTTCCTTCCTTCCTTCCTTCCTTCCTTCCTTCCTTCTTTATGGTGCATCAGTCAACTTTGAAATTACTCTTTTATACTGTAAAGGTTTAAGGGGGAAAAGAATAAAGGAGAAAATTACCTTAGTATTACTACAGCGAATCATATCCCTAGTATTTAAAAAAACAAAACTTTGAAAAGAGCCCTAGTTCAGATCCAGGCAATTCCTGCCAGCAACAACACATGCAGACACACAGAAAGGAATAAGTGAGCGGGAAGGAGACAACATCTGGCAAAGCCCAGGGAGCTTTATCATGAAAACTAATGCTTCTTTAGGCCAATCTGGAAGCACTCAGAGCTAGCTAATAAGAGCAGGTTTTAACTGCAAAGCTATTTACGTTGCTGTGCTATCCTGTAGTGCCACCTAGTGTGGAGGAGAATGATGTCTTCATTGCTTTTCAGTAGACTTTAAAATGGTTTTTGCCAAAATGTTGTCTTTGTTGCAATTATGTCAAACATAGAACAAAGCATTTTATCAGCTGTTTTAAAAACAAGAACTGGCAGCTGGTGTTTTTTGAAAATGCTCAAGTTATCAAAGACAATAATTCCTATTTTCCTGTATCCTATAATTGCAGAAATTGGAATTACCTTTGGAGATCATCTACTTAGAGCCCCTGCTCACTGTTTGTTGCTGTTCATTCGTTCGTTCATTCGTGTATTGGAATAGAAGCTAGAGCACTTGCATTGAGAGATTTCAGGACTTTATTGCACTAGGTTCTTCTCCCACTACAATAAAGTTTGTTTCTGAAAATCCTACCCATTCAGGATTGCTCCCTTTCCTTTTCCTCCTTTGGAACTAACCTAGGCTTTTACGGTGTTTATTTGTAGTAAAGGGTTATCACACACAGCATACGGACTCCTATTCAGTACCTCCTCAAAGATATTTTCCCACCCCTTCTTGTAAACTCTCTCTTTCTCTCACGGAATGTGTGTGTGTGTGTGTGTGTGTGTGTGTGTGAGAGAGAGAGAGAGAGAGAGAGAGAGAGAGAGAGAGAGAGAATGTGTCTATGAAAAGAATATCCTAGCAGAATAGTAGTGGGAAAGAAGTTCATTAATGGATTTTTGTGGAAATAGTCTCCCACAGGAGAACACAGAAAAATGGTCATGTGATCAGCCCCAGCCCAAGTCTGTATTATCCTAGTGTACTTGCTATTTACCTGCCTTGTGTGATAGATTCGGAATTCTGTATTGGATGAAATTAATTTCCTCCTAGCCAATCTCACAGGATATTTACAGATATAAAAATGCATCAATGCCTGTCAACCTGGGCTTCCTGTCGAAAAGCTAGAATATGATGGCATCCATTTAGAACAAGCAATATTAAAGAATTGCAGACTTACTTATTTCAGCATCTGGGATTTATACATTGCTTCTTGGGAGTTTTCTAAACTAGGCAAAATAACTTGGATCTGGGACCATAATTCAGATGGCCCAGGAATCACCTCCTTGGTGGCCATTATTCCTAGCTAGTCACAGAGCTGCATCCAAGCTCCTGGCTGTTGTAGGCACCCCTGATTAAATCACAATGGGGTACCAGTATGGCTATGAAGAAGAGGGGAGTGATCTCCTCTCCTTCTTGCTGTCATGGAGATTCCCTGTTGTGGTTTCAGCAGTGGCACCCACAATGGCTAGAATTTCAGAGAGAATTCCTTGGTTGCTTAGGAGTAGTGTTAGCAACAACATGGACACAATCCATCCCCTTTCCCTGTGGTGATGAGTGTAGGGAGAGGCTGAAGGTACCGGTGGGTATGGACAGCAGATCAAGGCAAATCAGACCTGATCCTACTGTACAGACTTTCGCAAATCTATGGGATAATTCAGAGTTTCCTGCAAACTCTGAAATATTGTTGACTTTGCTCAAAGTGGGACCAGAAGTCACTGTTCATCATGGGTATGGCCAACTGACCATTCTGATGTAAGTCCAGGGTTTTTTGTTTTTTTTGCAAGTGTAGTAATAACATTTTCTAGATTATTATTATCCAGTGGGGCAAAAAAGGAAGGCTACATTTAATGTAATCATTTAGACCATACTATTTTTTATATGGCAGTATTTTTCATGACTTTGTTCCCTTTTTATGCTGGCAGGAGTAGAAACTTTTAAGGGAAAGCATGCCTCTCTGAAATCCACCCCAGGATCTTTGGCTAGTCCTGGTAAACTGATTCCTAAATCGAAAGTGCCCATCAAAGGATCAGAAGTTCGAAGAAGCTCTAGCATCTCTTCCATCAGTAGCACTCAAAGCGACCAAAGTACTTGCAGCAATAATTGTAAGTTACTTCGGGGTATCCAATATTTGTTTTTGTGACTAGATGAGTAAAAACAAAATTGATTGGTGTTTATTCGACTAATGAAATTGTGACTGTCATTTTCCTGGAGATTGTCTCATAACTAATGGGTAGATTATAATAACTAGAAAATAATTATGCTTTCCAGAGACCTAATTAATATGAGTTGCACGTAAGTACCTTTTTAATCTCCGGAACAGGTGACACATCAGTTATATTCATTTTCATTATATGTACTGTAATATGTCTTTCTGTACAAAATAGAAGAAATATACTTCTTTGGTTAAGTATTTATAAGTTCCTGCTTACAAGCTTTGAGAAATGCTTGTAAGTATACTATTCGAGTACAAAAATCCAAATGCTTAAGTAGGCCTTGGTAATTGTTGCCAATTTTATTATTGCCTATATATATAGAGGGGGGGATGTAGGAGTATCAATGGTAGCACACATTAAGCCTAAATCCTTTTTGAGGAGGAGGGATATTATGTTAAACCATGTTGAGTTAGGGAGGCAAGCATCAGCAGCACTGGCTTAAGAATCACTTTTCTGTGTTTCCCCTTTCATTGAAAAAATGCATCTTCTCCCATGTGTTCTTCAAAAAAAAATTCCGCATATTTAAATTTTGTAGCATGCATTTCTCTTACAAACAGATTGGCTTGGCACTGACAGCCATGTTGGGGGTGTTTTCTTTTTTTGTTCGGATGCTTTTTTTGCTGTTTGGTTTTACTACCGTGCCTGGATCACCTAAGGAGGTTGTAAATGCTCTCTTCGTTTCTATTCCGTGCTCTTAACAAAGGGGGAAAGGTCTTGTCTGCCTAACAAAGAAATGTGGAGGTCTCCTTTTCCGATTCAGTATCCAATTGACGACTCTTTCTTAGCCCGATTTGCTAGTTGGCTTAATCTGTTTTGTCTCCTGCCTTGAAGCTTACAATCTTTTTTTTCCACCCTAATTCACCAAGAGCAAGCGTGGGGGGAAAACGAGAGAGAGCGGGTGAACATGGCTGCAGTCTTTCGGGCTTTGAGCTTGCTTTGATCATTTTAAATGACTATACCAGGAGGACTTCGCAGTTGCACAGAAACTGACTTTTCTCCTTATATTTTCACCAACGCTACTCTAACACCATCGACAGATTCAAGAAGCCACTGCGATTTTACCTTATTGACCTTGCTGGCAGTGGGATCTTACAGCTTTTGTATAATTCCTTTGTTAGCCACATGTACTGGGAGAAGAAGTAGGTGTTCCTATATCTATATATATGTTTAGATAAAAAATGGGCAGAATGCAATGATTTCTTAAACAAATTGAATATGGGAAATGGAATGCAATTTGAAATTTTGCATTTTTGGATTTTTTTTATTGTGTTGGGGTTGGGAAGAAGGTTTTATTCAGCTTTCTTCCTGTAAGTCTGACATTTCATTTGAAGCTGTAATCAAATCTAGAGAATATATGTACTGAATGTATTTCCCAACTGTTCTCTTATGTATTTTGAATCTGACATTTGTAAGCATGTCTTCTTTTAAATTCTGTATTTTTATTTCCGCTTTCCCTTCCCCCAAGGCTGTCTCTGTATAGCTTCATTCAGTGCACTTTGGAGGCAGACTCATTAACAGCTTGTGGTAGACAGTGCCACTGTCATATTTTCTGAGGCATTGTAAGGTCTAAGCAAGATGCTTGTTCAGTAAGGCAGTTATAATTGGGAACTTAGTGTATATCTATGGATAGTGGTTAAAGGATCCTTACTTAAAGGAACCATCCACATAGTAGTGGTTCTGTTATTGAGGGTACTCAGGTCTTTGTGTGACTTCCTTAGAAATGTTGTGACTCTTGTAAAATATTTATGTGTGTTGACAGTGGTCTTTTGTGTGCCATCCTCCCCTAAACTCATTTTGAGAAAATTCCCTCATTAGGAGATAAATGCAGTAATAGAGTTCTGACTGCATTTGTACAGGTTGAGCATCCCCTATCTGAAATACAAAATACTCCAAAAGGTTGGTGACTGAGATAGTGACGTCATTGCTTTCTGATGATTCAGTGTATACAAACTTTGTTTCATGTACAGGATTATTAAAATATTCTGCATGAAATTGCCTTCAGAGTATGTGTCTAAGGTGTATATGAAACATAAATGGAATTCATGTTTAGACTTGGGTCCCATCTCCAAGATGTCTCTTATGTATATGCATATATTCCAAAATAAAATTTTAAAAAATCAAAATATGGAACACTTTTGGTCCCAAGCATTTCAGATATAAGGGATATTCAATCCGTATGAGAGATGCTCATGTGCAGCATGGTTACTCAAAATAAACATCTAACATTATATTTCTAAAAATGTTAAGGTAAGGCGATGAGAGAATAAAGAAACATAATCCATGTTTATTTTTTAGTCGGGCTTTAATTAGTAGCAACTAACAAAAATGAGTGTGTGCCTAGTAAGTATGTAGTATATGGCTTATAAAATAATTTGGTATGTAAATTGAGATTTCATTAGTAAAGAGACGCTTAACATTTAGGTAAACATCTGAAATATCTGATAATGGAAATAGTTCCAGCTATTGTTTTGGAAATGTGATATATAGGCATATTAGCTATTTGTAGTAATATGATGGTGTTTGGAACCCATCGGCCAATTAAGGGAATAGATATAGAAAGGAAAAATCAAATAACACTATGCTACTTTCTGTAGACTGTAAGCTATACATTGAGGAGTATTCATTTTACCATTGATCAAGACAGTACAGTAATGGAGAGCACATAAAAATTAGCTGCATGTCACTCCATTCAGATGTTTATGACTCTTTTAACTTGTCTTATACTGGTCATTCTGTCTGAATACTGTACTCGAACGTTATTGCTCTCACAATCTTCTTTGTCACATCTGGCCATGGTTAAACAGTGCTGTCACAGAAGTAGGTCAGTAGACTATGCTTTCATTGCGATAACCTCTTTTGTAGGACACATTGTAGAAACCTGAAGAATTAGTCTTGCTCATATATGCAGAAATATTTGTACAGGTTTTCTACAAATATATTGATATTTGAGCGAGCAAAAGTAATTAGTGAAAAAATATACCTCATTCCACAGGATGACTGGTGCCTCCTGATCCTGGAATCTTATAATATGTTTGTAATATAGGGTGACTCATCTTTACAGCATGGTATAGTATCACTCTTGTATCCGGAGTACTAATTCCCCACAATCTCATTTAGTAATGTCTGATAAAAAATAACGTAGGCATTTCCTAGGTTCTCTAATACAACTTGAGGGCCTGCTTCTGCCAGAAGTTGCTTGTTCAATAGGGTTACTTCTACTCATGACTTCTTGTTTATGAGAAGTCCTTAAAAATATCCCTCGCAGATAATAGGGATTGTACTGTATTTGTTTAAAGTATTGGAATTCAACAACCTTTTGCGGGGGGAAGAAACCAAGCAGTATGCCTTACAGAAATACCAAAACAACAACAACACCCAAAACCCCAGTTGAATAACACATAACAGTTGCACAATACCAAGAAAGTAAATTTAGCATGTAAGTCATTCATTGTGTTCACACATGTCAAAACATATAGTGAATTCTTGAAATATGGCTTATGTTGTGTGAATCTAGACTGTTTGTTAATTAGCCACAGACTACAGTCTGCAACCATGATTTATTATTGACTTATAATGCTGAAGTGCTGTGATAGCTGAACATACTGCTGAGACTTGTCCTTGACTTGTTTCCCAGATCCTTTCCCTGAATGTGTGAGAGAAGCAAACCAAAAATAAGGCAGACATCCTTACTTTTGTTTGATTGCTGTGAGTTTTCCGGGCTGTATGGCTGGAACCCAGTGATTCTGGCCATGAAAACTTTCGACAATATTTTGTTTGATTGTCTGCTATCTTTGGCTGCTGCAGTATCTGTGACTTAGGCAATAAACCATGGTTACTACTAACCTGGCTTACTGTAATGTGCAAATCTACCCACATTACAGAAGTTACGTTGCAGAACTGTCCATGTGATTCCTATAACATTTAAAGGAACACAAACCTGAGGTTTACACTGATAGTGTGCTTGCTAAGTATTTATGATGTAAATATCATTCAAATGTTGTATGGGAAACAGAATCATTCAGTTGCAGAAATGCAACAGCTAGTTGTGTACGGTAATATGTAAAATGGCCTAGGACTGTGTAACAAATAGAGTGTTATTTTCATAGGTATCAGATTGCAGAAATGCATAATTTTAAGTTGCATGTCAGGACTTTCATAGCTCAAAAATAATTTTGATTAATGGCCCATATGTTGCTCAAAGGAGTAAGAGTTCCACAATCTATCTATCTATACATATAATAAAAGTCAAAGTTTGTATGCGGCAGATGTGTGGCGGGAGGAGTGTGTGCCAGCGTTCTGATTGGCTGCCGCTGTGGTGCTATTTGCATATGATCTCTGATTGGCCAGCTTCAATAGGAGCCCCTGGTGGAGAAAAGAGTTCATGATAGAAACGGGGACATGAGAAGGAAATTTGCATATGGTCTCTGATTGGCCAGCCTCAATTCCAAGATTCCGAGATGACAAAGAGAGGAAAGGAAAAGGCCAGGGGCTGGGTCAGAAAATTACCAATACAGACCAAACTTGGCACACAAAGCCCCCATGATCCACTCTACATCCTACTGCAGTTTGGAGGAGGATGAACCATAGATGATGGGACTTGCAGTACCATCACTCACGTTTTGAGACCGCTGTTAACCTCATCCAATGACTGATCAGAACCATACTTGGCACATAGACCTCTCATGACCCACTTTACATCCTGGTGTGGTTTGACTGGGGATGGACCATGGATTATGGGACTTGCAGTACCTTTGCTCAATTCTTGAGACCACTGCAACCCTCATCCGGTTACCGATAAAGACCAAACTTAGCACACTGAGTCTCCATGATGCACTCTACATCCTGGTGCTGTTTGGAGGAGGATGCACCATGGACGATGGGACTTGCAATACCTGCACTCCCTTCCTAAGACCATTACAACTGCCAACAATGATGGATCAGGACCACAATTTACACAGAGAGCCCGCATGACCCACTCTACATCCTGGTGCGGTTTGGAGGAATTTGACAATGGATGATGGGACTTGCAGTCACTTCACTCACTTCCTGAGACCACTGAGACCCTCGCCAATGACTGATCAAGACCAAACTTGGCACACAGAGTCCCCATGACCCACTCTACATCCTGGTACATCCTGGAGGAGGATAGACTATAGATGGTGGGACTTCAAGTACCTCTAATCCATTCCCAAGACTGCTGCAACCCTCATCTAATGTCCAATCAAGACCAAACTTGGCACACAAAGCCCCCATGACCCACTCTACATCCTGATGCTGTTTGGAGGAGGACAGACGATGGATGATGGGACTTCCAGTACCTTCACTCACTTCCTGAAACCACAGCGACACTTATCCAAATACCAAGAAAGACCAAACTTGGCACAGAGAGCCCCCATGGCTAACTCAACATTCTGGTGAGGTTTGAGGGAGAACAGACTATGGATGATGGGACTTGCAGTACCTAAACTCACTTTCTGAGACCACTGTGACCCTCATCCAATGATTGATCAAGCAGAAAACTTGAGCCCCCATAACCCACACAGAGGCCAATAACGACCAAACTTGGCATACAGAACCGCCATTACCCACTTTCTCAAATAACCCGGGCAGCGCCGGGTCCCCAAGCTAGTAGAAAATAAAACAAATGCTGTACAAGGACAGAGTAAGTAGGCTCTCCAATATACTTTACAGTAAGGATCTTCATTAAATATTTTGAAGCAGTAGTAGTTGGTATTTGAACATGTCTTGGTATCAAACAAGGTTATCCTTTCAGGCACGATGAAGACATGAGTAGGAGGTAGAAACACTCATTTCTCTTTGCTGCACAAGTTTCTCCTTGCTCACCCTGCTGTCCTTCACCATGGTTAATCCCTATGTTGGCATTGATTTTAAGCGTAATTAACAGTAAACAGGATGTTGATATTAAAGTTTGTTTTCTAACCATGGTTACGGGCATCATGGGTGAAATTTTATTTAAGAGAAGGAAGGTACTGAGCTCTCCCCCAAACTGGAGTCGAGTCATTAATTGTAAGAAACGAATGAAATTAAAATACAAAGTAACTAAAAGGATAAGGAATTAAATGCAGTGTTCCAGTGGGAAATCCTGTTTTAAGTATTATTATTTTTAATGTCACACATTATTTAAACTGAATTTCATAAGAACTGTGTGCCTTTTTATTAAATTTTGACAGCTACAAGTGCCACAATTATAATCAAAAATGGAGAGTGGCCTTCCAGATCGGCTTGTCAAAACGGTACAGCTGGATCCCTCCCGCTCAAGTCAGTGCCCAGGCCAAGAGTGCTTTCCCTGAGAAATACCCCCAAAGGTAACTTTTACATTGGTTCTTCAAACAGGAGTTATGGCCCTGCCCAAAGGGGATATCTGTATATGAGCAAAGATCTTGTGTGATCAGAGAGATCAAATAAAGGGGGTCATTTTTCAAATGCATGTATATATATTTTTTTCTCAACAAAGGCTATTTAAGAGAAATGAAGCTGCTAAATTGGCACTGGTGTAACACAGAGATAAAACTGCTTCTTATTTTAACATCAGTCAAAGCCCGAGATAGTTAAATTTTGGACTCTCAGAATCCTCATCCAACATAGCCAATGGTATTTTGGGGATTGTAGTTTGGGTTATACATTTCCAAGCCCTGGTTATCAAGTAGGGGCTCCATTCTGGATGAACCATAGAAGCTGAGATGAGCAGGGAGGAAAATATCAAAGACTGGTTGAACAATTGTTATTTCTTCTTTTGCTGGAAGTGGTTGCGTGGGAAAAGACAATTGCAGGTGCATTTCCTACCCTTAAATGGCTCAGCAAGACAGACTAATGTTGTCACAATGATTTTCTTTAAGCTGCAAAGTGGATTGCGGTGTCCTTTCCTTTTCTCAGCATACTGAGTGCAAGAAAAGAAGCGATCAGACACTAAATCCTCTCTCCTGAGGCCACTGTATGCTTGCCTCTGAAAACCCCTCCCCCGGTTTTAGTGAGAAATATAATATTAATGAAAGTGTAAGTGGCCACTTCCAGCTTTGTTAGGGATAGTGCATCCTGTGGTCCAGGAGGACACCTGTGGTGGGAGAAATGTCTCCTGGATGCATTGAAGTTACCCACCTCCAAGCTAAATCCTTAGTCTTTGCGGCATGTAATCAATTAACTTATGAAAAAATGGAGCATTATGTTTGTCTGAAGATACTGGATTTTAAAAAAATTAAGATTCAAATTTAGTCTTATTTCAATGTGTTTTTTTTTAAAGGAGCAAAAAGCAAATTAGGATCAGCAGGCCCGTGCGTGCCAAAATCTTCAGGGTCAGTTTTTCCAGGAAGGAAAACTGGTGATCCAAGAGGACGATTGGGTAAAGTATTTATCTTATTATTATATCATAATGACATTGAAAGCCGTGTGAGTATCTTTGTATCTTCTCCACCATCCTTTCTGTTCACATAGCTGGTGGATCATTCAACTTGTATGGCCAGTGATTCAAACCTGTGCTTCGAAACAACATCACTGGTGTTAGAGTTTTGCATATTGTGTTGAAACCAGAGGCAATTAAATATTTGTAATATAAGCATGTCTGCCTGTGCATATGCTTCCGCATTGACTTCAGTAGGACCTTCCTAAACCAATTTCAGTGGAAAACTGCTTATTAGTTAGATCAGGGGTCCTCAAACTAAGGCCCGAGGGCCAGATACGGCCCTCCAAAGTCATTTACCCGGTCCTCACTAAGGGTCAACCTAAGTCTGAAACGACTTGAATGCACACAACAACAACAACAATCCTATCTCATCAGCCAAAAGCAGGCCCACATTGAAATACATTAAGTTTATATCTGTTAAAATTGTTCTTCATTTTAATTATTGTATTGTTTTTAAGTATTTTTGCACTACAAATAAGATATGTGTAGTGAGCATAGGAATTCATTCATGTTATTTTCAAATTATAATCCAGCCCTCCCAACAGTTTGAGGGACTGAGATCTGGCCCTCTGTTCAAAAAGTTTGTGGATCCCTGAGTTAGACATAACATTTGCAATATCTTGTACTGAAAATTACCCAGATTCACGGATGCCATGAATCTGGGTAATTTTTGTTTATAAATTGAAACTGCAAATTCACAGTTGTGGATAAATGCTTTGCAACAGTTGAATACTTACTAATGTACCGAGAGAGAGAGAGAGAATTGGGAATTGAAGCTAATTTAACAAATGGGTTGAAAAACCTCAGCTGAGGGAGTATGAGGTGATGTGCAAAATGCATCTGATTTGCCTCCCCATTGCTAGAAGTTTGTATTTTAAGCATTTATTTTACTTTGAGGAATATCTCGAAGTGTCTATATCTGTGCATATGTGAATGAAAACATCAAAGTGAAAATAATGCCCACTAGAGGCCTTAATCTGGTGGATGTTTAACAGATTTTACACACAGACACACATACTAATTGGCTAAGATTTTTTTTTAAGGAAGGTTTGACATTTCAAATGAGAAAGAATATCTGAGAACAGTTAAATGAAGTAGTTTTACATAATTTTCTTTCATTCTCACAAAGTGCATGATTTCTCCTATAGACAGCTGCCGAGACAAATAGATTTGAAATAGAACACAGTTGATCAGAAAATGCTGAAGTACCTTTTTTTCTTGGCTGTTGCCAGCCACCATCTTCTGAAGAAACCCAGAGGTCTTGGTTGTCTATTCATCTCAATAAAATTATTGTGACATCTCAGCTCATATTTTTGCTTTCCTAGGGTCTTTGACACAAAATGGAACCCAGAATGGATTGTCTGCATTCAATTCTGGTAAGTGGTTTTATCTCTCTCATTCTTCATGTTCTTGTTATTTAGGGTTTTATGTGAACAGGAAGCGTTTTTGTTCTGATCTATATATTAATGCTGTTTTTTATGTTGTGACAACGTGTGTTTTTTACAGTGTTGTTGCAAGAACCTGTGCTTTTTAAAGGTTTGTTTGTTTCCTATTTTTGTATTTGGATGCTGCACATTCAGTCTTTTTAGTATGTGGTACCTAAATATGTAATTCCCACATTTAAATGCCTTCCACACAAATGCTGTCCTGTTTTGTGACCATTGACTATAAGCAGAAATTCCAATTTTTTCAACCACAGATTTAGTTGAGTACTTTAATTTAGTGGGGATTAATTTTGTTCTCAGATAAAATGGTTTGGAAGGAAACCTCGATGGGGAGGTTGTAGGGAGCATTGGTGCATTGATGAATTTTGTTGTGCAATCACTTGTGTCAATCTTGATAGCCAAATTATAAAAGAAAGTAAAAGGCAGGTAGTCGTCTTGGGTCATATCTCTGTTTGTATCATGTCTGTTTGTGAACAGTGATCTAGATCTGGTAAAGGGCCTTGTTGTGATTATTATTTTGGATTTTGGCTGGAGAAACGTCATGAGAAAAGAATATAAGAGGGGCAAAACGTGTCCCCAGACAAAATAAAATTGCCAGCTCACTATTTCCCAAGAATTTCTTCCTTTCAAGGCCCTTCAAGGCCAGTGAGAAAAAACATCAGACAGAGGCTGATGGTTTAACTGATGATTTAGAGGGGATTATAACCTTTCTTGTGGCACAAAGTGATGGGTCCTTAAGTCTGGGAAATTCAGGTCTGGAAAATGATGATTCTCTCTGACCCGAAAATAGAGTATGTCAATCTGAGAGATTATGTGGGAAAGTTGTATAGAAAATTCACGGGATACGTAATGCTTTCATGCGTGTCCATTAAACAACAAGTTGTTTACCCTAAGGGCAGTTCAGGCAATAATGCGGTAGAGTGAAAAGCTAAGCCTGAGTTCTCTGGTTCCTAGTGCAAATCATGCCTTGGTTTTGGATTTAAAGTATATTGAAAGTTTTCTGGGTTCCTGTTCATGTACTCCTGTTCAAGTTTTTACTAGTAATACCTTCTTGCTTGTGGACTTACGCAGTATCTGTGTTTTCTGGCTGTTCCTGGACATTGTCACCTCTGGAATTTATGAGACATTTGGATTATTGTTTGGTTAACACCTGTTGCAAAATCTTTTTGGATTGTATTTCTTACTCCTGCTTTCTAATATGCTTTTTATGTGTCTTTACAATAAACTGTTTGCTTATATTCCTGGACTCTTGTGTGGTACAGTGGTCATAGGTGTTTCCAGGCTTGGAGTGCAACACTTAAGTTCGCAGACACAAACCAGTTTATTATGTTACGTAAAAATAGCATGCAATCTACGAAATTCAACAATCAAATACAATTATTATTTCTCCAATGCCATCCCTACTCCCTGTGAAACACCATCTCATGACAACATTTGGGATCAAGAGTGGCTTCATTAAGGCATTGCATTAGGTGTTGAGTAATAGTTTCTAATGATATTGTGCATAGTGACATTCAGGCATACACAATATTTTTTCCCTTTTTTCACTTATGACAAGAGGAGTAACCAGAAATATTAGAAGAACGCTTGTCATTTTACCTTTATGGTAGGAGGAACTTTACACTTACGAAAGGAGTAGGCCTTTGTATGAAATTCAACCTGATAACTCTGAACGTATGCTGATAGGTTTTTTATTCCAATAAAGGAACGTATTTCTTTATTTGTTTATTTAAAACATTTATATTCTGCCCTTCTCACCTTGCAGGGGACTCAGGGCGGAGCACAATAGGCCATGTTCTTTAAATCTGACCAAATGCATACATGCATACGTGTTAGAAACAGATTTAATTCTGTTCTTTTTGTCATTCAGTTCTTTGTAATTAATTAGCAACAAATCCATCTTGTGCAACAAGTAAAACAAAACATGTTCTTACAAAACCCAAGTCTTGTTATTTTTTGCCCAAAGCCCTGCAGATAGTAGGCTTGGGATAATATAATTATGTTAATGTGCATTTGGAATGCTTTTTATTATTATTTAATACAATTACACTCTTAACTTGTTAAGCAATATTTATAATGTTGAACATAGATTAGCTTCATTTCTGATTGAGGTGCAATTGTTTTGCACAGTTGTTTTGGGCTCGGATCTGAAGAATACTTGTATGTATTCTATGGACACTTGTTACTGAGAAGACAAGTGATAATTGATAGGACATATTTTCTTGAATGATGTCATGCCTGTTTAGTTCCAAACAACTCTACGAACATGCAGTAACAGGCATTTCATTCCTTCTAAACTTGGAACAAGGAACCTGGAACAAGGAACCTGGTCAAGAACGTTGGAGTGGGCATAGTTCCCCCTCTAGGACAGTAAGACTATTTATAGCCACACTCAAACCTGTGGGAGCTGGTTCTCTGCAAAGTTACCTCATATAACTGATATCTGCCTGCAACACATCCATGTAGTTAGTGCTTCTTGCGTTAGCCTTCATCTGATCAGTCCCCTTCTGCATGAATGACATGAATGAGAAGGACCGGTACATTTTGGTTCTGATAGAAAAGCATATGGACTTGTAGTTGGATCAGAGAATACAGTTTTTTAAAACACCTTTTGGTTGAATTATACAAGAAGTAGATGCAGACTTGCTTCTTGCGTCTCAATCCTTTTGGAAAACCCAGAAGAAATTCATGCAGTTTTCTGTTGTTGGCTGCCCGCCTGAAGGAATAACTTCCAACTAATTTAGTGCAGTTGTGAAAAAGCCATATGCTTTGGAGCAGGAGTCCTCAAAGTTTAAAAAATAGTACAATGCATCTATCCCCAACCTGCTGGTTAGCTAAAGATTTGGACTACAGCTCCCAGCATTACTGGACATCTTGGCTAGATCTAATAAGAATTGAAGTCCAGAAACTGTACACAAATTCCCCTGCTGGAGAAGACAGGAATATTATGCTAAAGTCATTAAAGTGAATGTATATATTAAACAATCCTAGGAAATCTAGAATCTGTTCAGAGGAGAAAGCTGTATGTATGTGAGAGATTGAAGGAGGAATACCTTTTCTGCACTTTTGGAGGTACAATAGAGTCTTGCTTACAAATTAAGCAACAAATCATCATATTTTACAACGAATCGACAGAAAAAGCTGTTCAATGCACAGTAACGTTATGTAGTAATTACTGTATTTACAAATTTAGCACCAAAACATTGCAATGTATTGAAACTGCTGTGGATCCAGGCAAAAAGCAGAATGCGTTGGATAATACAGAACGTTGGATGAGTGAAAGTTGGATAAGCCAGACTCTACTGTATTCTAATTTAAAACAGATATCCTTCCAAAGAGAAAAAGAGCGTGATGCAGAGGTTTCAGTATTCTGTTTTTTTTCCCTGCAGATCAGGGTCTGAATTGTTGTTGTTCATTCGTTCAGTCGTCTCCGACTCTTCGTGACCTCATGGACCAGCCCACGCCAGAGCTCCCTGTCGGCCGTCACCACCCCCAGCTCCTTCAAGGTCAGTCCAGTCACTCAGGGTCTGAATACTCACATGGTAATAATGGAAAGGTGTGGGGTGGTTTTGTGCAAGTTGCACTCTTGCTGCTTCAGAGGAGGGCAATACCAAGTGTTCTCTGAACAGATCTTGCCAGGCTTATCCTGTGTGTATGTGTGTGTGTGTGTGCCTTCAAGTTGCTTGCCGACTTATGGCATCCCCATAGGTTTCATAGGATTTTCTTTGGTCTGGTGTGACTTAATATCAGAGCAACCCTAAGATGTGTATGATTTTAATCCAACTGTATACTACTAATCAGATCTGCAAAATTAAGTATGTTGGAGTTTGCACAAAAGGAGATGCAAAACTAAAATACTACAAATGCAGTGGGTTAAACAGCTGAGCTGCTAAACTTGTAGACCAAAAGGTCACAGGTTCGAATCTGGGGAGCGGCGTGAGCGTCCGCTGTCAGCCCCATCTTTTGCCAACCTAGCAGTTCAAAAACATGCAAATGTGAGTAGATCAATAGGTACTGCTCCGGCGGGCAGGTAATGGCGCTCCATGCAGTCATGCCGGCCACATGACCTTGGAAGTGTCTATGGACAACGCCGGCTCTTCAGCTTAAAAATGGAGATGAGCATCAACTGCCAGAGTCAGACACGACTGGACTTAATGTCAGGGGAAAACCTCTACCTTTACCTATGTAACTTTGTGATTTCACATAAGATGTCAAATAGGATTTTTCCAACTGTTTGTGGTAAGATAGCCACATACATGTTGCATGGTATTCATATTTACTTTTACAGTCTTGGATCCAATGCAGTAATTTTAGAGCAGGAATGGGCAAACTTCCTAACAATATATTGTGATGCGTGTGGCAAAACTGTATTCAGGCATGATTTTAAGTGTTATCTATAAGCATTTCTTGAGTAGAACCACTATATCACCTTAAATGATAATGATAAATATGTGTTTTGCCATCTTGCTATGGCCACACAATAAACAGCTTTTTGCAGTTTGAAGATCTACCTTTTGTGGTGTCCTTCCTTGTCCTCTACATCTGGAAGGGGGCTCCTGGATTTTGGATTTGAATTTAAGGAGTATTTTTCGAGTATTGGGGTATGTTTTATTAGCTAATAGGAGCCCCCGGTGACACAGTGGGTTAAAGCGCTGAGCTGTTGAACTTGCAGATTGAAAGGTTGGCGGTTTGAATCCAGGGAGTGGGGCGAGCTCCCGCTGTTAGCCCCAGCTTCTGTCAACCTAGTAGTTTGAGAACATGCAAATGTAGGTAGATCAATAGGTACCGCTTCAGCGGGAAGGTAACTGTGTTCCATGCAGTCATGCCAACCACATGGCCTTGGAGGTGTCTATGGACAACGCTGGCTCTTTGGCTTAGAAATGGAAATGAGCACCAACCCAGAGTCGGAAACGACTGGACTTAATGTCAGG